CAGCCCCCTCCCACACACACACTGAGTCCCACTTCCCAGGCTTGATCACTGTTAACAGGGTGACATGGTTGTGGTATATTTATTTAATTGTAGGTTTTGTTTTTTTTTTAAGTAAAATTTCAAGTCAACAAATTTACAGGGAAAAAAATAATTTATAAACTATGGCTTTTGCCAAGCAAAAGGGGGAAGGCAGATTAGGAGTATATAGAAATGATAAGCTGTTTTGGGAGCTCCATTCCCTCTAGCTCTGTTTCTTCTCAAGTTTACTGTTAAGTATTTCATGAGCTTATTAAAGGTGAATGGGCCAGATGGGGTGGCTCATGCTTGTAATCCCAGCACTTTGGCTCTCACAGTGAGAATCATACCCCTAGGCCAGGAAGCCAGATGCATCCTAGCACTTTGGGAGACTGAGGCAGGAGTATCTCTTGAAGCCAAGAGTTGGAGACTAGCCTGAGCAATATAGTGAGTTCCCATTTCTACAAAAAATTAAAAAATTAGCCAGGCATGGTGGCACGTGCCTATAGTCCCAGCTACTCAGGAGAATGAGGCAGGAGGATCTCTTGAGCCCAGGAGTTTGAGGTTGCTGTGAGCTAGGATGACACCACTGCACCGTAGCCCAGTGACAGAGTGAGAACGTGTCTCAAAAAAAAAAAAAAAAAGCGAATGGAATCCCTTCATTGATCTTGTTGGGATGGGGCTTAAAAACCACATAAATAAGAAGACAGGCTGTATAGTTCTGCATAAGAGATGGAAACTAAGCACTGTGCCTACTTCTGGTTCAAAAACTGGGCAAAATTTAAAAGAGGAGGTACATTTGCAATGAAGATGGGAGGTTTGATGAGACTTTGATAATGGGACAAGGCAGGGAAATGGAGGTCGGCACTCAGACCTTAAGCTACAGAGGCAGGGGAAAACGAAATGCTTCCTAGCTGGGTTTTGTATGCATAGGAAAATGAAGGGAAATAAGGTTCAAGGGGAAGATTTGTGTGGTGTTGTGGAGGGTCTTAGCTGTCAGGCTGGGAGCTTACAACTTAGATCTTTAGGCTCTGGAGGGGTCAGGCATGTGGGGAGGCAGACTCGGCCCGGGTGGAGCAGAAGGTAGGAGGAGAGGAGTGAGGACACTGGAGCCCAGCTGTGGCGGAGTGAGGGGATGGGGAGTGGGGGGATTGCCGGAGTGGGGGCTGAATCCCACGCCATTCCTTCCTGGCTCTGGACATGTTCCTAACCTGTGTCTTAATTTGCTTCTTTTGAAAGTGGGCTGAGAGTACTAGAACTCACTGCAGAGGGTGTTGGGAGGAGGAGTGAGCCAGTGAGTCCCACACAGCCTGGCACGTGGGAACCCCAGTACATGTCCACCATGACCAGGTGGGAATCCCCTGGGTACCTGCTCAACCGACATGTGGGGAGAAGCTTTTGGCAATGTTAGCAGGAATACGAAGCATTCAAGCAAGCTATAAACCAAGGGCTGCCTGGAAGCTTTCCTGAGCTTGTCTGTGTGTAAAAGTCAAGATTAATTGTGGTATGGTTTACTCCATTTAAAATTCTGATTACATGAAAACATTGTCTTGTTTACTTAGTGAGATTCATTCTGTTACCAAAAACTCGGCACTTGTCCACAAGGCCGAATCAGAATGAGGACAAGTGGTTTGTGGGGGAGGATAGAGAAGTTTTATTACTTTGCCAGCAAAGGAAGAAAAATGGTAGACCTTGTCTCAAGATTTAAATTTCCCGAACATTCATAGAAATACAGAGCTTTTAAATGATGGATTCTCAGCTTCAGGCAATTACTGTTCAACTGCAGTTGATAATTCTGATCATTCTGTCTCTGCTGAAGACAATCTAGTGACCACCGCCCAGGACCTCCCTTTACCAGGTCAGGCTGGGCCATCTCCTATTGCACAAATAAACAAAAGACTTGCCCTGACCTGCTCCCACAGCCCCCAACCACTGGCCTAGGGCAGGGATGCAGGCTCTAGTTCTCAAAAAGGAGTGGAGGATGTTTTAAAGAGACAGAAAATGTTTTTGCTGTTTTTTTCCAGGCCATTCCCTCTGTTACAATTCTAATTTCTTAAGTTTTTGAAATTTCTTTAAATCTTCTACTTACAAAAAAATACTGACTTTGGCATCCATTAGTGAAGCTAATTCATGGAGTTTTTAAGGAGGTTATATTTCGACTCATAGAAGGATTATAGAGGTTGGGGCAAAACCTATTTCTCATTTACTTAATTGGCTAACAGAGACCATTTTGTTAAAATGACACTAATTCTTCGATTTTCTTACTTTGTCTGCTTTACTTTTTCCTTAGCACTATCACAGATCTTTAACATACTCTTACTCTAAATTAGAAATAAGGAATTGCCTGCAGAGAACCATCTCCTTGCATGGGAATGGACACTGAGGAGCAATTTAAGTTTCTTTTTAAGGTTACTGTAGTACATATTCAGAATCACTTATCATCAAAACCTGTAGTCCCAGCTACTCAAGAGGCTGAGGCAGGAGGATCACTTGAGCCCAGGAGACCAGCCTGGGCAACATAGCAACACTCTGTCTCTTAAAAAAAAAAAAAAGAAGAAGAAGAAAATAAAAACAAACAAACAAAAAACTTTTACTTTGAAATTCCAATGTCATCATAGAGAGAATTCCTGGCAACTCAGTTCCAGAACATTTAGTTTTTAGTTTTTACCTTCCTTTCTAAGAAATATATATAGAAACATTTGGCTTTATTTTTTTAAGATAGTTTAGGACTAAAAGTTTAGGACTGAAAGGTAGATTAGCAAGCAATAGCCTCATATTTAGGACATCCTTTAATTCAGCTCCTGTTCAGGTACCTCTTATGTGCCAGGCCCTGTTCTAGGAGCATGAAAGAAAAATATGAGGCATTCCTTGTGCTCTGGAGCTTGGTGCTTGTTAGGGAGCAAGAGGGGAGAGCAACTGCAAGCATGGCAGGGCTGCGTGATGGTGCTGACGATGGGAGTTCTAGGCACGTGGTGTTCACCATGACCCAGGCACTGTTCCATGCACTTTTCAGATAGTAGCTTATTTAATTTCTACAAGAGCAAAGGAAATAATACTATGATTATCCCTTCTTTATAGATGAGAAAAGTAAGGCACAGAGAGGTTAAGTCACTTCCTAGGGTAATACAGCCATTAAGTGGCAGAGTTGAGACTTGTACTCTCCCAGTCAGTCTCCAAAGACTTTGCTGTTAACTCATACCCTATGACAAAGGGGCATGGGCCTGTAACATAAATCCATCGAGGGCACTGGTGAAAATGTGGTGCTTTGGTAAGATCTTTCAGAAAGCGATTGGAACAACTAATTGCTACTAAATGGAAGATACATCATTTCATCTTGCTTGGTCATCAGAAATTCTAAAGGGAGGGGTTTTTTTGTCTTTTAGGAAATCTGTTTTTTATAAAGTGTGCTTTAATTTTACTTTTTATGTATCACCATGAAGTGGATTTGTCATTATACGTGTTAGTATTAATCTTGTTGGTTATTGGCTTCAAAATAACTTCCTAACATTTACTAGGTTTAAAAAATACCATTAGGCATAGAAATTAGTAAATGGAAGAGCAATACAAAAGGGTATTTTGGGTGGATCTGAAGTTTCCTTTCTTTTCTTCTCCCTATACCCATTCTAAAATATCCACATTCCTTTGCAGTTAGTGTAGGACAAGCTATGTTTGAACTACAGGATAGCCTTGCTTTTTGCTCATGTCTGTGGATTCTGTGTAAAGACTCGTTGCTGTAGTCAGATCTTACTTTACAGTTGGCCCCTTGCTGAATGCACATTGTTGGGGCTCACTCGCTGCCTTTACCTGGCTCTGATTTGATCTTACACTGGAGATAAGTAGGGCACAAGGATGGCTGGGGGCAGGAGGTGCTGCAGCTTTCACTCAGGAGCATTAAAACTTGCATTTCCTCTCCACCCTGCTAGGGGTGATGTCGACTAGGTCCCTTCCAGCTAATGATAAGAGTATGAGCATCCTCCAGTCTCCTGGTAGGGGTCAAACTGAACAAGTAGGTAGCTGACCTGAAAAAATCCAAACAGTAGCTCTATTTTGAGTAGAGACACATTACCAAATTTTAGATCCTAACCCACCAAAGAGGAGAGGCAAAGAGTTGGTATTGTTCTAGCAGCCCCATGAAGCTCATCACGTCCCTGTGCTCTAGGGGAGGCTGGAGTCAGTGCGGCAGAAGTGCTGCTGGCCTGGCATGGCCTGCCCGTGGGCAGGAGCACGGGAGAGCAGGCCGTCAGAGCCTGGCCTTGGCTTCCAGGAAGGATGACGAGCTGCTTGCACCAGCAGTCACCCACCCTGGAGTCCTGGCATCCCCGAAGTGTGTGTCCCTATTAACACAAATTTAGAATTGTTTAGGATCCTGAAGCTCAAGGAAACTTTGTTCTCAAAAGCTTAGCGGTTCAGTTCTAGGGAAGAAAAGTATTAACATTTAGGAATATTCTTTCCATTTAGATCTACAGAGTTGGATTCTAACTGGTCTTGGTTTCAGTTGCGATGCATGCAAGTTGGAGGAAACGCTAATGCGGTAAGTTCATCAGACTTGTCATTTTCCTTCTATAAATATTTGTTTCACTAGTAAAGAAGTTCAATACTTGCATGTTTGGGAGGCCCTGTGGGATAAGGGAGAGAGCCTGATGGGTTTCGAGTTGGACCAACCCAATTAACCTGCTTATTCAAAAATCTGTTAAATACCTTCATGAAGGTTGGGCTAGGTGCTGGGGATATAGTGACAAGACAAATCAGATCCCCTCTTGGGGCAGAGACAGGGAGTAATCAAAGAAGTAAATTAACAAGAAAATAACAGGCAGTAGTAAGTGCTTTGAAGAAAATGAAAACAGGCAGTGAGGATATAGAGAAATTGGAGGTTTCTTTATGACAATGGAGTGTTTTCGTATCTGAGGGTGACTTTTGTGCTTAGAATGGAATGCTTATATTTGAATTAATATTTAATTTATTAAATCTACAAATTAAAACCCTATTCTTGAAATCTTCGAATATAATAAATATGTATTAATTTATAAACTTAGTAGTTTCTGTGAGAAAATAACTTTTTAAAATGTTCAATTAGGCCGGGCGCGGTGGCTCATGCCTGTAATCCTAGCACTCTGGGAAGCCGAGGAGGGAGGATCGCTTGAGCCCAGGAGTTTGAGGTTGCTGTGAGCTAGGCTGACACCACGGCACTCACCCAGGCAACAGAGTGAGACTCTGTCTCAAAAAAAAAAAAAAAAAAAAAGTTCAATTAATGTATAAGTTTAAAAAAGAAAATTTCCGTAATCCCATTTACGAATCTCATTAAAGATCCTCAAACGTTTTTAGCTTTATTTACAAATTCAACGTATCTGATTCTCTCAGACACTAGACTGGCAACCTTACAAATCTAGCCAGCAAAATCTTCTGCAACGCGGCTAGCCTGTTTATTATGCCAAATGTATATATAGATTGAGTAAATGAAATTCCCTTAGACATTTCTTGTGTATTAAAGTATAAAAAATCAAATTTGTAAACATTTCAAATAAAAATTATGTCCAGCATCAATTAAATATTTAAAATTAAAATCATACATCTAAAATAATGGTTTCCAAAATACTGGATTCCCTTAGATCAGTGTTTCTCAACCCCTTTTCACCATTGCCCCCAAAGCAGAAAAACTAGTTAATTAGATTATTTTAAATTTAAGTTGGATTTAATGTTTCCCTAATTTCCCTGAAAGAAATTAAATACTAGGGAATGCAATTTTGTTAGGTAAAGGTGAGCTTTAGAGGGCCACAAACCAATTGTAATAACTAACACTTCTTTCACTTTCTAAGAAACAGTTTTTGCCCCCTTAAGAATGTAAGCCTTAGATGTTTCAAGCATCTAATCAGAAACTCTTGCCCATTGTCATGACGTTCACACACTTGTCCCTAAACTTCATGCTGTGGGTTCAATTTGCCTGTCCTGATTTCTAAGCCTTCCCAAGGTTGCAGAGTCCCCCTCCCAACTCCAGAGAGCAGCTTTCTCATCTCAGCTGGGAGGGGGAGGGGAGATGGGAAGTAAGGGTCAGGCCAGTGGTCACTCAGCCAAAGCAGTGGAGCTATGAATTATGGGCTTGGAACTGTCCTGCTCGGGTTTGAATCCCAGCTCTGCCCTTGGCTACTGTGTGACCTTGGGCAAGTTGCTGAACCTCTCTCTGCTTCAGTTTCCCCACCTGTGAAGTATAGGTAGTAACAGTGACTATCTGATGCTGTTGCTGTGAGGATTTCATGAGGTGATACCCACAGAGAACTTAGGTCAGGACCTGGTACATGTGGGTGATCAATACCACTATTAATCGAATTAGGTTCAGAAAAGGATCACTCATACAGGTTTTTAATTAAGACATAAATCCGAAGGCCCGGCGGCGGTGGCTCACGCCTGTAATCCTAGCACTCTGGGAGGCCCAGGCGGGTGGATCACTCGAGGTCAGGAGTTCAAGACCAGCCTGAGCAAGAGCGAGAACCCCGTCTCTACTAAAAAATAGAAAGAAATGATCTGGACAACTAAAAATATATATATAAAAAAATTAGCCGGGCATGGTGGTGCATGCCTGTAGTCCCAGCTACTCGGGAGGTTGAGGCAGAAGGATCGCTTGAGCCCAGGAGTTTGAGGTTGCTGTGAGCTAGGCTGATGCCACGGCACTCTAGCCCGGGCAACAAAATAAGACTCTGTCTCAAAAAAAAAAAAAAAGATATAAATCCGATAATTCACATCTGTACATGGATCTTCAGGAGGTGGTTGAAAGCAGTTTCTTCCAATTGTTTAAACCTTGCTTTATCATTTTAACTATGTGTAGTCTCTGTTAATGAAGAAATAGTGAATAAGGTAAATGTTAGCATAGCTCCTAACCAATTTGTCAAAAATTCTGATCTAGTGGAGTCCAAATTGAAATTGATTACTCACGAATTAAAAGTAGTCCTGAGTAGAAAGCTTCCCCTAAATGGTAAGTTCAAAATGACAGGTGATTTAATGGAGAAATGAGGAACAGTTATTTCATTTTGTAATACAAGTCTCCTATCTAGTTTTACCAAAATATTAATGTTACACTTGAGGTAACATTAATATTTTAGAACTTTTTATGTTGTTTAAATAATTTTGGTTTTCACTACTAATTTTTTAAAATCCTTCATTACATCAAGTAGCATTTTCGGTTACCATGTTAGATTTAATGCAGTATTTCTATTAATATGCATGCTTTCCTTGGTAGTCTTCCTTTTTCCATCAACACGGGTGTGCCACCAATGACACCAATGCCAAGTACAACAGTCGCACTGCTCAGCTCTACAGAGAGAAAATCAAGTCCCTTGCCTCCCAAGCCACGCGGAAGCACGGCACCGACGTAAGTCTCTGGAAGATCAAGCGGTCTCCTTTAGATGAATGTTCACTTCAGTATAAAAAGTGGGTTTTATCCTGAATAGTAAAACTTTTCTACCTGTATCCTTTTACAAGGAAACAATGTACAGTTGATTTTCATTATTTGAGGTAGTTATGTTCTATAAATTTGCCATGAGCACTGAGTTAGGGAATACTGAAATATCACTCCTATGGGAGGCACAGCATTAGGTTCCTAGGAGACTCTAGTCACATTTTCATCAACTGATCAATACATAACCTTATTTAACATGTGTTTCTGTTTAAAGACACCTTATTTAACATACACTGTCGACTCATGAACGTCGAACTCACGGCCAAGGGACTATAACTCAGGCCTCAATGAAGCTTATCTCACACTTGCATTTTCTCCATAAGGCACATCACAGCCTTGATGTGTTTAGGAACATTAGACAGCCCTTCACACTGCACTCAAGGGGCTTTTAAATAAGTCATCAATAAAAAACACACTTCAGAAGCAGCTGCT